AGAATAGAAGGATAGAACGCGAGGAGAAATGAGCGAGAAAACGACGAACGGGAGGATGGAACTCAAAATTTAGTAAAATTAAAGCAGAAAAGAACTCAGAAAACTTACTCATGACGAATGAAGCTATGTTGCCTGGAAGCCGGAGATTTGGTGGTTGCAGGATGCTCGACGAATTGCAGATAGATCAGGATGCGAAAGTAGGGAAAGGGAAGAATGTAGGCAAAGGGTCGGTATTTATATTGAAGAGGACTGGAGCGGCGCGTTCTCGACCGCCCGATTAAGAAGTGTTAACGGCCACGATGAAGAGGGAGCCGAACAGACGCAAAAGCAAGAGCCGTAGGATTAAAGTGGGTGATCTAACGGTGAGAGAAGAAGAGACGCGGGGGACAGGGGCGAAGACCGAGGCGGCGCAAGTCACGAGGCCATCATGACCTCTGACAGGTGAAAGGACATACCCAAGAAAGTGGACAACTGGCAGAATTCAAAATTTGAAAAGTACACAGAACTGATGGCTGGAAAACAATGGTCGATACGACGAAGGAATTATAGCGGATGGTCGAAGATAGCAGGATGAGGTTCGTCGACACAAAAGACTACTCTTAGATCGAGTCATTTAGACTCGACCAGAGTGGGGGGACTAGATGATATGAGATATTATATACTAGACCGGTTCGGAGGACACTCCAAACAGAGTAGCGTATGGGTGTAGTCGAGCAGTACCAACAGGTCCATAGAAACTCTAGCACCTGGTCGAGCAGGGACGTTCCAGCGAGTACAGGCACAGACCAATTGTCTCTGGCCTCTGGAGCAGTTACACGTGAGGACACATGGACTGATCTGGTCGACAGCCAGAATATGCTAAAGGATCTCCGTCACATGGAAGGTGGACACGCGGCGTTATGTGAATGGGCCAAGGGATAACGAACTCTGACATTCTCTGGCGCAGCTGACGCGTTTTCTGACACCGGAGAAAGTGGAGACGCGCGACCGTACGGACGAGCAAAGGATGGAGGGCGAGACTCGCCTAATCGCGCGTGGCCAACAGGTAACTCGTCCCTATAAATAGGGACGAGGATTATCGCTCTTAGATAACTTCCAATTCTCCTAAGATTTTGATATACACTTTTATCTCTCAAGATCTGACTTGAGCGTTGGAGGCTCTTCACCGGAAAATACCTCCGGTGTAAGAGTTTTTGTGCAGGTTCAGCGTTCGACCGGTGGAGGAAGTCGTGTTTGCTGCGGTTCTCGGTCGGGCGAGCGTTAGACTTGTATTATACATGAAGCACCAAACTCTCCCCAGCATCATTCAATCTCAAAGCCAGTCATCACAGTGAAAATTAATGAAGGAAAATTACTTGATATAGAAGCAACAAGCTTTAGCTACCTTACTCAGATATGGGTTAGAAAGCTTCATTGATGACTCATCAAGAAGAGAAAAGCAGTACATCCAAGATGAGGAAGGATGAATCATTATTAATCCTTCTTATGTGATGTAGCGCAGCAATAAACGAAAAGGGAACAAGATGAGAAAACTCAATCTGATAATTTTTATTCGTAAAAGTCTGCTCTCTTTCAAGAGGAAAAGACAATATATAGAGGCATATTAAAGCTAAATCCTTAATTTCCTAAATAAATAAAAATCCCAAAAGAAATAAATTATTCATCTACTAAATAGGAAAAGGAAATAAAGCACCCTAATAAAATAGATAGAAAAATAATAATCAAACTAAAGATGGTAAACGATCAAATTTGTCCATGAATGCCATCGCGATCTCGTCTCCATCATCTTCCCCTGATTGGGAAGGATTCGCCCTAGAATCCGGGCCGATCTCGTCTCCATCGGAGTTCTCACCAAGGTAAGGGACCAATTGTTTGACATTGAAAACGTCAGAAGTTCGAATATGCGACGGTAAACGAAGACGGTAGGCATTCGGGTTAATCTTCTCGAGGATCTCAACAGGGCCGATCTTCCGGGCCGACAGCTTATTGTACTCATGCACCGAAAAGCGGTCTTTGGTCAAAACCGCCCAAACGAAGTCACCCACCTCAAACTCAACATGGCGGCGGCGCAAATCAGCATGCTTCTTGTAACCGGCGGTCACAGCCTCTAAACGAGCTCGGGCAGACTCGTGAACCCGCCGCAAATCCTCCATCAACGCCTCGGCCCGAGGTTCGGCCGCCACAGGCGATGACAAGACGAGAAAATCCGCGGCCCCCCGCGAACGCACGGCATAGACGACCTCAAATGGAGAAAAACCCGTCGCACGACTACGAGCCGAGTTATGCGCGAACTCAGCCTGGGGAAGGCGTAGGTCCCAACTCTTCAGGTTCTCACCAACCAAACAACGCAACAAGTTCCCAAGAGACCGATTGACCACCTCTGTCTGACCGTCAGTCTGAGGATGATAAGCGCTACTAAAGTCCAGTCGAGTGTTGGCCAGACGCCACAAACTCCGCTAAAAATGGCTAAGGAACCGCGTATCACGGTCCGACACAATAGACGACAGCAGAACATGCAACCTATACACCTCGCGAAAAAATAAAGTCGCCACATGGAGGGCATCTGCAGTACGCTTGCAAGGTATAAAATGGACCATCTTAGAAAAACGGACGACCACGACAAAAATAGAATCATTACCTCGTTGAGTACGAGGCAGCCCCAGGACAAAGTCCATACTAATAGCAGCCCAAGGGAGCGAGGGAATCAGCAAAGGTCTGTACAAACCGGCATTGGACGCCGCAGCCTTGGACACCTGACACGTGTGACAACGCTCCACAAAATGAGCCACATCCCTCCTCAAGGACGGCCAGATAAAGGAGCGACTAACCAAGTCAACAGAACGATCGCGCCCGACGTGCCCAACCCCATGAAGGTCTGCGACCACCTTCAATCTCAGGCTTGAGAACAAAGGTGGCGAAGGGCCTCGTGATCTGTGAACAAAACGAACTCCCTGTGAAATAAGTAATGCCTCCAATAATGAACGGCCCGAAACACAGCATAGAATTCAACGTCATACGTGTTGTAGCGTAAACGCGGGCTCGACAATTTCTCGCTAAAGTAAGCGACAGGGCGCCCCTCCTGGCACAACACCGCACCTATCTCGACCTTAGACGCATCACACGAAAGCTCAAATGGGAGAGAAAAATCCGGAAGGACCAAAAGCGGGGCAGAAGTGAGTTTTCTCTTGATAAGATCAAAAGCAGCAGCAGCCTGAGGGGTCCAAACAAATGACTTGCCATGAAGGCAGTCTGTGATAGGAGCGGTGATAGAACTAAAATGTGAAATGAAACGGCGGTAAAAAGATGCTAACCCGTGGAAGCTACGCGCCTCCGTGAATGACGTCGGAGTCGGCCACTCCCGAATAGCGGCGACCTTGCTGTCGTCCACACGAATACCCGCAGCCGAAATGACAAAGACCAAGAAATGGATCGAGTCAACCACAAACGAGCACTTATGAGGCGACCCATAGAAGGACTCGACCCGCAGGATCTGCAAAACCGAACGTACATGCTCTAAATGCTCCGGAATAGAGCGGCTATAAATGAGGATGTCATCGAAATAAACGACGGCACAACACCCAATGAGGTCGCGCAAGGCCTGGTTCATCACCCGCATGAACGTGCTCGGTGCATTAGAAAGACCAAACGGCATCACTAGCCACTCGACAAGACCCTCCCGGATTTTAAAAGCGGTCTTCCACTCATCACCCAGCCGGATTCGAATCTGATGATAGCCACTCCGAAGATCCAGTTTAGAAAAAACCGAAGCCCCATGCAACTGGTCAAGCAGGTCATCAAGGCGCGGAATAGGAAATCGGTAGCGAACCATAATCTTATTAATAGCACGACTGTCAACACACATACGCCACGAGGCATCCTTCTTCAGAATGAGCAGAGCCGGCACCGCACACGGACTCAAACTGCGACGAAAAACCCCCCGAACGACCAACTCCTCCACCTGTCGCCTCAACTCTCCGTGTTCAACCGGGCTCATACGGTAATGAGGACGGTTAGGCAAAGAAGCACCGGGCACCAAATCAATGTGATGCTGAATGTCCCGAAGAGGAGGAAGACCAGAAGGTAGCTCATTAGGAAAGACATCAGAAAATTCCTCAACCAATGGCTGAATAACGGCCGGCGGGGCCGTCGGGGTCGACACATCAGTACCCAAAAGAAGCAAAACACACGTGGCCTGTCGAAGCTCCCCATCAAAAGCCGTGCGAGACAATAAAAGAACCTGCGGGGATGGCGGCGGCAAGGAACGAGGAGGTGACGGATGAAGCACCAACCGAACACCGTCAAACATGAAGCTGTATGTGTTAAGACGACCGTCAAAAGCCACCGAACGATCATACTGCCATGGACGGCCGAGTAAGAGATGGCACGCGTCCATGGGCACCACATCACACCATACTGAGTCACGATACTTGGGCCCGATGGAAAAATGGACCAAGACCCGACGGTCCACGGTGATGGCACTACCCCGCTAAATCCATGCCAAAGTGTACGGTTGAGGGTGTGGCACCGTCGATAGCTGAAGATGTTCCACCGCATCCTGTGCCACCACATTCTCACAAGAACCAGAGCCAATAATAAAACGACAAATAACCCCACCTACCGTACATGTGGATTCAAAAATATGGTGTCGCTGAAGAGGCTCCGTGGACTCATAGGCCCGAGGCGCCAAACACGAACGACGAAGGACCAATGCAAGACCCTCATCACCGCACAGATGTTCCTCCACTGGGTCAGGCTCAACATCAAAATTCGGTGGACCCTCGTAAATAGGCCCCATAAGGCCGTCGCATTCGTCGGCCAGCAAAGCCCGGGTCCCACCGCGACGAGAACACGCGGACATCATGTGGCCCGCCTCACTGCACGAGAAACACCGGGGACCACCACCGCCACGCGAACTGTCCACGACGCCCGAATTTGCACCACTCCCAGCCGTCGGGCCAACGAAAGTGCCAGCGGCCTGAAAGCCGACCACCCCTGACGTGCTACCGCGACCACCCTTGACAGACGACCGGTTGGGTACTGCTGAAGACGAGGAAGGGCCGCCAGGGCGTTGCTGAAATCCCGATGACGGCACCGAACGCTGAGCCTGCTGTTGTTCAATAAGCAATGCTCGTTGATGAGCAGCAGAGACGGTTTCGAGGGAAAATAAATTAAGCATATTACAGATAGCAAGTCGTAAACCCCCAACATAACGGGACACCTTCTGAGCCGTCGTCTCGCGTAAGCTAACCCGCGTAAGGAGACGATAGAAATCCTCCGTGTACTCATCCACTGAACGGGCACCTTGACGCAAATTATGTAGTTGTTGATATGTAGTACTGATATAATTGAACAGTAAAAATTCCCGTTCGATGTGTTTCCGGAACTTGGCCCATGTAGCAATTTTGGGTTTACTCAAAAGACGACGCTCATCCTGGAGATGCTACCACAGGAAATCGCCCGCCCTCGCAATCGCGTAGCCACAAGGCCAACCCGCTGATCATTGGGGACCTCCTTGTAGTCCAACACGGCCTCCACGGAAGCAAGCCAATCAAGAAACTCACCGGCATCCAGCCCACCCGAAAACTCCGGGACATCCACGCGAAACGCACTCTCCCAACGCCTTTCACCGCGTGGTTCGTCGTAAGCCCGTGGATTATCGCGCCCGAACGGATTGCCCTCCTCCTCCGTAGCATCTGAGTCGTTGTTCTCCTCCGTGCCCGGTGACCGTCGTCTGTCACCAAAACTCGCGTGGCCGCGACCCCCACGGCCCCCACGCTGCCCACCGCAACCGCCGTCCCGATTGTCGGGCCCGTCGCGGTTCGTTTGGTCGCGTCGCATCAGCAGCTGCAGGGCCTCCCGGATATCCTCCATGCCCGCTGTTAGGTCCGCCATATCGCGCCCCAGCAACTCGTTCTGGCGAGTTAGGGCTTCGATCGCCGCATCCCGTCTGTCGTCGGCTGGGTCGTTCCTTTTTGGCAGCATCTTGGATCGTAGTTGAACCCTGGATACCAACTGATGTAGCGCAGCGATAAACGAAAAGGGAACAAGATGAGAAAACTCAATCTGATAATTTTTATTCGTAAATGTCTGCTCTCTTTTAAAAGGAAAAGACAATATATAGAGGCCTATTAAAGCTAAATCCTTAATTTCCTAAATAAATAAAAATCCCAAAGGAAATAAATTATTCATCTACTAAATAGAAAAAGGAAATAAAGCACCCTAATAAAATAGATAGGAAAATAATAATCAAACTAAAGATGGTGAACGATCAAATTTGTCCATGAATGCCATCGCGATCTCGTCTCCATCATTATGTCATCTGGAAAAGGCAAGGACAACTACTGTTCTCCACTTCTCCTGGATCTCTTCTCTTAGTGAATCAATCATAGTAACCACTATTGGTTTGGGCCCATTGTCTTTTCTTTTAGTCTTTAACCTTGAATACCCACATCATACCTTCTTGTGCATCTCTCTCTCTCTTATCTATTTCAATCTTTTATTTTAGTTATCTCTCCCATCTCTCTAACATTCTTTCTTCCGAAATTCCCTATTTTTTGACAATGCCTAAATCCAAGCAGGGCACCGTGAAGCTGAAGAAGAATGTTCCTCTGCCATCTCGGCGCTCAACTCGTCAAAGCCAAAGTTCTGATACTCCACCAGATCCAAATCCTTACACCATGGAAACCGAGAACATTCAACCTCCCGTCAAATCTGTAACACCCCGCTATTTCATGAAAATCAGAGCGCAATTTTCGTAAAATCTCTCTAAATAAAAGCATTTATTTTGCGAAACACTGATTCGGAGTGCTACCGTAAAATCTGACTTTATCTGAAAACCGTTATTTAGTTTAATAACAAAACGGTAATGAAATATAGTAACCGACTAAAGTCGGATCACAAGCTGATTTGACAAACTGAAACAGTTAGCGGAAAACATAGTGTAACCAAAACATGTTTAAACATATATACAAAAGTCCTGAACCGGCCGCCAACTCACTCTCGGCTCCGACCCTGTGACCTGAAAAACATGAATAATGTGGGGGCGTGAGCACTAATCCACTGTGCTCCGCAGAAACTCATACTAAAGTAAACAGTGAAAATAATAACAATATCATGATCCTGGCATATATAACTGAACTGATACTTAAACTGAAAACTGAAACTGAAACTGATACCAGTACTGAATAATCATGATCTGATATTGATATCGTGATAATCATCACCTGACTGATAACTGAACATCTGCCAGCATAAAAATGCCAGACACCATGTGCACACTCTAGTGGGCAGACTATGGCCACTAGAACCCAGAATGGACCGGCGACCATTCCGAGCGGATACTGATAATACATACCTCAAACATGGTAGCGTAATTATAATCAATGTAATAACCATCTGTAACACCCTGCTATTTCATGAAAATCAGAGCGCAATTTTCGCAAAATCTTTCTAAATAAAAGCATTTATTTTGCGAAATACTGATTCGGAGTGCTACCGTAAAATCTGACTTTATCTGAAACCCGTTATTTAGTTTAATAACAAAACGGTAATGAAATATAGTAACCGACTGGAGTCGGATCAGAAGCTGATTTGACAAACTGAAACAGTTAGCGAAAAACATAGTGTAGCCAAAACAGTCTGACAGTCATTAAGGTGCAACTCATCTTACCATAATGTGCATGATTTCAGTCGCTATTGTGCAGTCTGAAATGATTGAATCTTTGTCTCAAACCAATTAAAATAGAACCGAAATATTTGTTTATTCGGTTCGTTAACCAAATTAGCCAAAATAACTAAAAAAAATATTGTTTATATTATTAAAATATGTCCTATAAATTATATTTTATTTTTTATATTTTTCATTTTTTTGCTGCAATGAATAATTTTTATATAAAAATATAAACACAACATTGAACCTAAATAATTTAATTTAAAGTAATGACATATAATCAGATAGAAATAACTGAAATTTTAGGAATGAAAAACGTATATTGTTCAGACATATAAACAAATCGGAATGAAAGTTTTAGTTTGATCGGTTTCAGTTGATATTGTGCAGTCTGCCAGTCAATAATATGCAACTCGTATAACTCTATTGTGCATTATTTAGGTCACTATTGTGTAGTTTTTTTTTTCAAACGATATATTCATATATAAAAACACGTAATTACAACCGGCTAACTAGCCGGAAAAGGGAGGCCTACCGCCAGACGATAGCCTAATACACAAAACACTACAAACACCACACAAAACTAAAAGCTCCACTAATGGAGAATACACGCTCCCCGACGAAAGAATACACGCTCCCCAACGGGAGAAAAACACGAACGCACACTGACATCACAAAATAAACACTACACAAAATAAAAAAAAAAACTTAAACAAACAAGAGCTAACCATTTAATACCCTCCCCACCCGACGGGAAAGCCCAGAACCACCACACTCCGGACAAGCACCCATCGCGAATACCGAGAAAAATCCCGAGATCCACAGCCCAAACACAAGACCCAGAAACTCCCCTAATGGGCTGACCAGATCCAGACCACAAAACTCGACAGCCTTCCCGATACTCTACAGACTCAAACCAGACTGGACCACTCCGTAGCCCCCCCCCTCCCCCCCGCGTACGCCGGAGCCGCCGCAACACTGCGCAGCCACTGCCGGAGGGCCCCATCTTCCAAACACCAGGGAAGACCGGGCAAGGGGGAACCACATCTAGACCGCCGCCATCGACCGCCGCAAGGACGCCCTCGACGTCCGCCGAACCAAAGCCCCTAGTGCCTCCCGTCATTCCTCGCCTGCCATGGCAATCGGTGCAAGATTGGGACCTCTCGAGGAGGAGGAGATGAAAGAACGCCACAGCCTCGCTGTCGGGCCCAGAAAGAGCCAGGTGCTCGCCGTAATTAGGGAAATCTAGGGCCGTCGGAGGAAAGGTTTACGCGGGGGTGTACTAGGGTTAGAAGGAGAAGATCTGGGAATTTTGCAGGGAGAGAGGCGAGAGAAAAAACTTTTCAACTTGTGTTACTTAGTGTTATGTTGTGTGGGAAATTATTGTGTAGTTTGAACAGACTGAAATTTTCCCAAAACCAATTTGAAAAAAGAAAAAACAATTTTGATGTGCATATTCGTACGAAATAATGTGCATTTTATGTATAAGGAATATCAAATTTTTAATAAATTATTAATTTTTTAATAAAGTACAAATTCGACCCATGAACTAAATTGTAATATAATTTAAACATCAAAAATTCAAACCAAGTCTCTATAACTACTCAAATTTTCGAAATACATCTCCCAACAAAAAGAACAAAAAAAAATACAAATCTGCGACGCCCTAGCCCTCAGCCCCGTCTTTCCCGCCAGTGCTCCGCCCCGACGTGTCGAGAACTGCAAATTCTTCATCGGTCGAGGCATCATCCCGATTTTGATTTTGTGTTCGCCGGTTGGTGTCGTCGGATTCAAAGCCGCAAGGAGGTCCGTTACCATTGCGAGCGGATTATTCTGCGTCCTCCAGACCATGAACTGGCTTGTCTGTCGACGGCGGTGGAGAATGTCCTCCGATGTGGCGTGCTGAAGCCAACGCCGGAGCTCGTCGGCGGACGGTTGCCGGACTTTGGCGATGTCTCTGTGGCTGCGGGTAATCGGTGGCCGTCGGCAGGTGGCGAGCGACGTGCGGCAGTAGAGTGCCGACGACAGAGTGTAACGACGCAAGACGCAGGCGCCGCCGTGTGTGTTGTATATGTGTTTGTCTGTGATGTGTGTGTTGTGTGTCGAGTGTGTCTGTGTGTGTTGTTTGTGCGTGTGAAGAGAGAGGGAGGGGGGTGGGTGGGGTGGGTAGGTGGTTTGATTGGTGGGTGTATATTAGGTGGCTGGTTTATTAATGTGTAGTATGGTCCACATTTTTAAGTGTATGGTGTAAAATTACCACAATGTCCTTAATGAATGTATATTTTTTTCTTCATAATGATTTTTGTATAAGTCGTTAGATCATGCGATCTAATGGCTACAATGTATTCTTATTTCTTTCACTAAGCCTCATTCTCACTGGAGTGTGACCCCTATATATATATATATATATATCCTTACCTAGGCGGTCATTCTAGGCGCTCCAACAGTTGGACGGCGTCTAGATAGAATAGGCAGTTGTGAAGGTTGTATTCTATCATATAACTAAAGACGTAATTATTTTTAAATAATTATATTCTATCATATAATTAAATATAAAATTACGAAGTCAATTAAAATTTAAAATTACAAAAATTAGAACAAGATATTAAATTAGTTAAACAAGTTACAACGACTTCAAATAAAATCACACATAAATTAAAATTAGTAAATTACAAATGTGTTTCAAAACATATCAAATATGGTCTCTATTTATAGAGAATGAAAAAAAAAATATGGATTTTAGTATTTTTTATTTTTAAAATAAATTACCCCTTAAAAATACAAATTAAATTTTATCTTATTTAAAAAATACATTTATCCAATAAAATTTGGACAAGTGTTCCATGAGCATTCCCACAACCGGGTGTGACCCTAGGTCACATTGTGACCTGGGTCACGCTTTTTGTTGTTTTTTTTTCTTTTTTTCTTTTTAATTTTTCTTTTGTCTTTTCTTGGTGACCCAATAATTGGGTCACCGATAAACAAAGTCTTAGTTAAAACTATGTGAGTGGATGAATAATAAATTAAAGTTGATATAATATGTAAGAATGATTGATTGATACTATTTAATTATACTAATAATATTGAGGATACTGAAGTTTATTACTCCAATTGAAAAGCGGAGCAAAAAAATTAATCAAAAAACGCAAATTGTATAACAATGTCTACAAATACACATATGAAAAATAAAATTAAAAATCCCAAAGCTAAAAATGTCTAATATATATCTACTAATCTACATTCTACATAAATGAATATGACTATATGAGGAAGCTGTACAGACGACGTCGTTTATTGTGTCATCTCAATTAGACATCATGAGCCTGAACTCGTCGAAGCTGAGTACCCCATCGCCGTTGAGATCAAATCGAGCGATCATATTCCTGCACTCGCCCACGCTCTTCCTCTCCCCCAGCCTGCTCAACATCCTCCTCAGGCTCTTGGGTGTGATGCACGCGCCTCCCTCCTGCACATACATTTGGAACGCCGCCTTCAGATCTCCCGCCTTCTCCTCATCCCCGGCGCCTTCCACAATCCTGAGGAAGTCGTCCAGGCAGAGGAGTCCGTCCCCGTCGGAATCCATCAGCTCCACCGCGGCCTCCGCCTCCTCGGCCGTCATCTCGCCGCCCATAGAGCCGACGCATCGCCAGAGCTCCGCGGGGCAGATCCTTCCGTCGCCGTCGGAGTCGAAGCGGGTGAAGACGCGCTCGTACTGCTCGTGCCTCTCCATCGAAGGTTGGAATGGTTACTGGTTCTCGATATTAACTATGAAACTTAGGAATTTGGGTATGGCGAAAGGCTAAAAAATGTGAATTGAATGAATTTTCTCGCTTTAGATTGAAGTAGTCGAGTTTGGTTTGATTCTGAAGGGTGAAGTGAGGATCGATTGGGTATATATATAGGTATTGTTAAGACGCGGAATATTGTAGAGAAGTGGATTGGTTACGGGCCACGTTTCCAGATGGATCATGAAGCAGCCACGAATATGCTCCTCAGCCCAAATTTGATAAGAGGACCACCACTGACTAGAAAAACACGGAGTTTATTTTATTTTATCTTTTTTTTTTTTTTTTTTTTAAATCCTGTGGATTGTGAGGAAATGATTACCTAATAAGTATGATACATACACGAAAAAAGATAAACAAAAAACATAACTTTATTTCTTCATTCAAATAAATTATCCTGTCAACATAATAATTATTATAATAAAACAAACCCATGTCCTGAAATATAATTATTTTAGCGGTAAAGGGCGCAAGTATGCTGATGTGACCCTGGGCTACAAAACTGCATCCACAATTCTTTAGAGCATCCGCAATGTTTTGAGTTCAATCACAAAAAATTGTATGACACATAAAAAATAGATCTAGTCTACAAAAATGTATTCTCCGGTACCAACAAAAGTAGATTGGGTCCTGCTGATGTAGCAGCCAGAAAAAGAGACCCAGTCTACCCTTTAGTCTATTTTAGACTCAAGTAGAGACATAGTCTCTTTGCATTGGAGTAAGTTTTATTAATTTTACATACTTTTATCCATGTCATCCAAGACTTGGTTATTTACATGCCACATAGGCAAGACTAGACCCAATGCATTTGTTATTGTATGGTTGTTAACAACGATTGAGTATGTGATTAGTTGGATATTTTAAGAGATTTGATCGTAAAACATGCATTCGAAACACGAGCAATGGCCCCGGTCCGAGGTGAACCGAGGTGAAAGGTGGCGCGGTTTTTGTATATATGTATCGAATATTCAGAGATCGATCCCTGTACAAGAATATGAACGTGCTATTTATAGTATCTTTTTGGGTCCGTATTTCAAGATGTACGGTAACCTTTTCGTAAAGTGGCTTTTGATGGGCGGCCATGTGAGTGGGTCCCACCTGAATGATGAAAGATCTCGCGATGTGTGAAGATGGCGTGTAGGCACCTTGTCACCAGCTTTGGGGATGGTGACCTCGGTTCGCGGTGACTTCGGTCTTTGCGTGTTAAGTCGGTTTTTCTTTATGTCGGTCGAAGTTCGGTTTTGCAACCATAAATCGGAATAAGCGGGGTTCGGGCCAACCGCTAATGATGACTCTTGTACCTCTCGATTTTGAATGAATAATCCCAGATTACTGGGTCGGATGATAACAGAGAGGCCCCCAGTGTCGGCGAGCATACGAAGTGGTGGTCGTCGGTACAGCAAAATAAATAGAGATTCTGAGCAGGTATATCGGGACGAATTAGTCGCGCCTGTTAGGGAGGATTCTAATGTATGTGGTAACCGAAGTGGGTCGAGTGTTCCGAAGTGGAGATTATTTTCCGAAGTGAGAACACTTGATAATATTTCAATAAACTCTTGGTAGTGTTGGGAGAGACTTGAGGGGACATAACGGTCGGGCATTAACTGCAAAATGCGAGAGGGTGCGTCGTTTGAAGGAATAGGTAACGGCTGTCTTTATAGAGTGACACGTGTGCTATAGGCGCTGTCAGGCGAAAAGTTGTGCCGTTTGGAATGAGGGGTCGCGTCGATTGCACGCGCCCCCAATTGGAAGCCCTAACGGTCGAAAATCGCGACTTATAAATACTCTTCAGCAGAATATGACTAAGTTTTTCTACCTTTGCAATTATCTTCGAATTTTCTAGTATTCTTTTTTGCTGTTGATTTCTTGAGCACTTGCGAGTTATTCTTGCGTGTGATTCTGTTTCCTCGAGTGACATTGAATTCTTTGGTAAGCTCGATTCCTTCTTGTTATTTGCATTTATTTTTGATTTTCTTTTCGGTCATATGGCATCGAAGGGTAAAGGAAAGGCTGTCGCGAGTTCATATAGTACCGAATCGGTACCCCTTGAGGTGTACCATGATTCAGAGCTGGTGGAATTGGCTTTTGAGTATCATCGGTGGGATCCAATGTTGGTGAGACACCTCGATATCAAGACGAATGATGAAGATGGCGATAGTGTGGTGGAGGAGAATGCTTTGGATTTAGAGGACCATTGGAGAAGGCCGGTAAGGACATGGTCTGACCCTAAGGTCGATTTCGAAGGCGAGCCCAGCATTTTAACAGATGTCGATGTGGTGATGCTCCGGGAACAAATCTGGATTCTGCCCTCAATGAAGATTTTTGCGCCTTACCCTGGGGAGAGGATAACCAGCCCTCCTCCGGGTTGTGTTGGCGTTATTGCGGAGAGCCTGAGATCGGGACTAAGGTTTCCGTTGCCGAACTTAATTACGGAGTACCTTCGAAGTTGGGGTTTACCTCTGTGCCAGATAACACCGAATAGTTGGAAAAAGATTATCGGTTTGATGGTCTTACTGCATGAGAGAGGTGAGGGCCTGTCGTCGTGCGAGGAGATTAGAAGCATATATGCTTTTAAGAAGAGCCCAAGTCGGAGGGTGGCAGAGACTTCTTGTTGTTTCTTTGCCGGAGCAAAACCTCAACACGATCTTAAGGTCGGCGAAATAATAACTGACATCCCAGAGACCCTCCACGGTTTTCAGGAGGAATGGCTGTGGGTCGGTGGTGAATGGCAGTCCGAGAGCTTTTTCCATGAACCCCGGATTGATGGGATGACAATCCCCATGAATATTCATTCCGGCAATAGTAAGTACTTTGTCGTTTATTTTTTGAGCATTTTTCTGATGTTGGCTTTGTTCTGTGTACTAACAGGTTGGAACTTTTCCCATTTGTAGAGAAAGAGACGAAGAAGAAGGAGCCAAAGCTTAGCCCAAAATTTGGTGGAAAGCTGCTCGTGTTTGCTGATCTTGACAAGGATCTTCGTAATTACAAGAAGTTAGTGGTTGATTCAAAGCTAGAGGCCGCAGGTTTATCTCCCGGAGTTTCGACCTCTGCATTTGATCCCGGTAAGGAGAATTAGTTTTCCAAGTATAATTTGTACCTCGGAATATCGGGAATGGTTGTATTCACTTTGCCATTTTGATTTATTCGTGTAGTATATTATCCGCTGCTCGGATTTTCTGGCTATCGAACTATCAAAGACGCCAAAGACTTCAGGCGTCGTTATCCGAACAAAGATCTGCAGTCGAAGTTTGGCAAAAGTCGAGACTTAAGACTAACCGACGCCATGAGGAGAGATTTGGTCCGAGCTTTGGTAAAGAGGACTGCTGGCAAGAAATCTGCTGACGTCGGAGTTGGTGCGACGTCGGTAGTTGATCTGGAAAGCCCAAAGTCTCAACAAGAGGTAGTTTCTGCCGAGGTGCCGCCAGTTGTAAATGCTCCAGCGATTAATCAAGCCGAGCTAGAAGAAAGTCTGGCGAGAAACGAGTTGGCTCTGGCGGAACAAGTGCATACCGAGGTGCCGATAGAAGAGCCGGAGAAACATCAGTCTCTTCCGAAGTCGTTGGAGACTGTACAACCGAATAAGAAGAAGAAGAGAAAATTGGTGAAGATGTCTGCCGGAGAGGCTTCTTCTGTTAGAGAAGAACGATCAAAGAAGAAGCACAATTCTGGGCGGCCCGAGAAAGAGCGGGATGTCGATGAGTCCCCGATATTCGAGAGGTCGTTTCTGTCAATCGACGAAGAAAGGACCGCGAATGTGAATGTGCCCAAGGGAGTGGTGGAGGATTGGTTCACTACCTTCAAGTCAGTCAAGACCCCTCACATGTCGTCGAGAATCGAAATGCCGGAAAGTGCAAAAAATGCAGCTCGTGTGCCTCTGATGGTATGGGACCCAAAGTCTGAAGTGGGAGTCTCATCTCTGTCAAGTGTGGATATGTTGAATTATGCTAAAGCGTGTATGGGTCGAGCTTTGGTGAGTCTCGTGGCGGCCGAGGACGATCATAGCCGGATTGCCGCACAACTAGAAGGAAAAAGGCATACCATATCTTTACGAGATGGGACTATTGCGTCGCTGCGCGAGGAAGCCGCCAAAATGGAAGCTGATTTGAATGACAAAATTGATGATCGGGACACGCAACTTGAGGTAGCGCAAAACGAGGTGGTCACATTATCCGAGGAAAAGAAGTCTCTCCAGACCGAGGTGGAGGAAGGCCGCTTATGAAGAAATATGTTGAGGCCAGTGCAGCATGCTAAAGCGCTCGAGGCCAGTGCCGATGAAGCAAAAGAGAACTTGTTGAGGGAGAAGGCCGCTCATGAAGAAACTCACAAATAGCGTACCGAAGTGCAAGAGCTTATGGCCAGACAACGGGATGCTCATCAAGCCGAAATGGCTAAGCTGGAGAAAGAAAAATATTCTTACGGCGAATTTATGTACGAGAATGGTTTTCAGGCCGGGAAAGACTCAGTTGCTTTTGTCGAAACCCAGAGCGGTAGAGAAGATGTCGTTGCTGCTGTTGATACCAGAGTGGAAGGTGAAGTTGGCCCTGACCTAGAATTGGAGATGAACACCTGTCTAGCACTCCGGTGGGTGATCGAGCGGTGCAGCGCCAGATTTTACGACGTTGACGAGTTGCGTATATTTCTATTCCACAAATTGGAGAAATATGGCTTTGATATGGAGATCAAAGAGCATGCACGTGGAAGCTGATGATGATGAGCGGGAGTTCTGCGCCAACTTGTTGGGCCGGACTGAAGAATTCGCCAAGAAGACTAACCTTCCCCCGTTGTAAAGAGAGAGAATATCTTCTCCGCCGCGCATTTGTGAATATGATTCTCGAGGGCGAGAAGTTAAAGAGGAAGGAGTTGGCTGATATTTACATCGAAACGCTCACCGAGGTGGTTATAGAGCAAAATTTTGAGGATATGACCCCGGAGCAAATTCGGGAGG